CTTCCTTCCGAGGAGTGGCTGGTGGGTTTGAACCGCCAGCCCTCTGGTTAGCAGGCAAGTGTCTTAGCCACTATGCTACCAGAGCTCCTATATATATATATATATTATACCCACCATAATAAGAAATTCTTTAGAAAAATCAGAAGTTGACAATGGTTTGGGGATGGGGAAGGGATAAACAGGTAGAGCACAGGGCATTTTTAAGGCAGTGAAACTTTACTGTATAATGCTATAGTGGTGGACACATGCATTTGTCAAAAATTCATAGGACTATACAACACAATGGACTCTATGAGGTTTAGTTAATGTTGTATGAATACTGGTTAATTAGTGGTAAAAAATGTATTACACAAATACAAGATGTTAATAATAGGAGAAGCCGTATGTAGGGAGGATATATGCAAACTCTGTACTTTCTATAAAATTTCTCTGCAAACCTAAAATTTCTCTGAAAAATAAAATCTTGAATAAAAAAGAAAAAGCGATACACCGTAAGATACCACAGAAACACTGGACAAAAGTTACCATATTGTATTTCCAGCTAACACCAATAAAAGCTGGAAATACAATATGGTAACTTCATTCACAATAAGATTTAAGGCAAGAAGATAGGGTTTAAGAAAGAAGAGACGGGAACATATTCCTGGGACCTAGGAAGCCAGAGCACTTGGAGAATCCTGGGAGCTTCCTAATCCTCAATCTGCATATTATTTGAAAACATGCCCAGGGAGGGCCTGGCTCTTCCCAAAGATATCTAAGCTCCTACAGAGCGACCATCTCAGTCTCCTATGCAGTAGCACAGAACCTATAGGATAAGGTGGCTAATATTTCTTTCAGTACCTTGAGCCTGGCACAGGGTACAGCAATGCATCCTTTTCAGATATTACTTTATTTAATTCTCACAACATTCCTATAATATAGATAGTATTACAACCATATACAGAGGAGGGCACAGGCTCACAGAGGTTAAGTAAATTTCTTAGGGATCCTGAGCTCCTAAGTGACTCAGCCAGGACCCTAGGCCAGGGCTTTCTGGCTTCCATGCCCATGTACTTTCCTTCAGCTCCTTTGGCTAGAGAGGCCTGAGAAGCAGAGCAATGAATAACTTTGGCTATGTCTTAAACAGAATTCCAAAAGCAGCCGATGTTAAAGAGCCCCAGGGCCCTTCCTGCCAGTGCAGAGGGAGGAGAAAAGACAGAAAGCAGGGAGCGGAATACTGGTCAGACACATGTGTTGAGCATCCCTCTTCCAGGCTGGCCTCCCAGAGGCAGGTGTAGACAGATTAGAGGAAAGCCCAAATGGGCAAAAAAGAGTCTTCACACTCTCCTTCGTATTTGGAAAAAATAAAATAAAATTCACTGCCATCAAGTCAGATCTGACTCATAGTGACCCCCCTCCTTGGGTCTCCAAGGCAGTATCACTACAGAAGTAGATTGCCTAACCTTCCTTCTGAGGAGTGTCAGGTGGGTTTGAACTGCCAGACTTCTGGCTAGCAGTCAAATTAGAAATGAAAGTTTCAGAGGACAGTATGGAGTCACTGAATGGTACAAACAGTTAACCTGCTTGGCTGCTAACCTAAAAGTTGGAGGTTCAAGTTCACCCAGAAGTACCACAAAAGAAAAGCCTGGCAATCTACTTCTGAAGAATAAGCCATCAAAAACCCTGTGGAGCACAGTCCTACTCTGACACATGTGAGGTCACCATGAGGCAGGGTCAACGTGAGGACAACTGATTACTGGTGGCCCCAGAGGAGTATATGGCACACAGTATGATTAGGAAGTGAGAGAACCCAGGCCAGAACCCTGCATCATTCTATACTCCCACATGGATGGAAGAGATCCTAAATGCCCTGTAGGGAAGGTGGAGTTCACTCAGGTTGGTAGGCATAGGTATAGGAGCAGAGGTAGGGGTAGAGGACCTTTCCAAGCAACCACAGTGTACAGCCCAGAAGGCACACAGGGTCTGGCGAAGACTTAGAGGGCAATAAGACTCTGGTGGTCCAGACGCCAAATAGAAGACCATCATGGCCCAACTGCAACAGGTGAACAAGCAGCCTTATCTCACCTGACCCCAGCCAGACAGCAGGCCTCTCCCAGCTCCCTTTTGCTTCACTGAAGTGCTGTCAGCCTCCCTGCTACTCTCCATTTATATGCTCATGATATCTAGGGCAAGAGATGTCTGAGCCCAAGAAGCTTTTTTAAAATGATGCTTACCCCTCTCACGTCTACCTGAGAAACATCAGGTCAGTTATAGAACATAAAGAAGCACCTTCTTTTGTTACCTCTGAGAAGTAGCACTGGGAAAATATATTGCTCTATGGTTACCTTCTTTGGCCTTCATAGCACCTGGTGACATAGGTGCCATCCTCGTCTGTGTTATGTTTATATGTAGAGGGAACACATAGACCCAGACTTGGCTAACACTAACTCCATATTATTTGCCCACCCTCCTGGTGCTCCTCAGCCACACCTGACTTCCTCATGATCTTGGCTCGCTTCCGCAGCTGGGCCAGCAGCAGGCCCAGGAGCCCTGAGTCCTGGAAGATATCAGTGAAGAATGGGTCCCCACTTGTGATCTTATGGATGCTCTGCAGGGCAGCAAGTGTACAGGAGGACTCAGGGCTCTCCTTGATCAGGTGCTGAACCTTCCTCAGGATTTCATGTGGCACATAGTATAGCTCAAACACCAGTGCCTCCAGTAGCTGGAAGAACTGTGTTTGCACTGAGGTCGGTTTCAGGTGCAAGAGCTCCACAAACTGTGAGATAGGCTGCAGGGTCCATTCCAGCAGGAAGAAGTTGCGTGCATTCCAGGTCCACATGGTTCTGATGGCTGATAAGACTTGTGAGCAGAGGATGGGGTTTCTGGCTTTGTGGAAGACATTTTGCAGGACTTGGAAGGCCTGAAGATTCTTAACAGTTGCTCCTGAAGATGAAAAATAATAATCCTTAATAATAATCCTGAAGGTCATTTTTCCTGCCTATATCTAGAAGTTAGGAAATTACATTGGAAGTTTCTATTTTCTATTTCCTGCAGATAGATGTCTATCAGAAGAGTCAACTGCCCAGGGTGTGAGTAAGGTGAAAGCTTACTGTGGTGGTGGTGTCAAATGAAGCACTTGAAATGTGACTGGTCTAAATTAAGATGTGCTGTGAGTATAAAGTACACATCGGATTTCAAAGCCTTAGCACACACCAAAAATGTAAAATTTTGTGTTGAAATGGTAGTATTTTGGATATATTGGATTAAATAATATACAATATGTATATAACATAAAGTTCCTTGGTAGTGTAAACATATATATATTATATAATAATAATAATGTATTTCTTTAACCTGTTTCTTTTTGTATTTTTTTAATATGGCTACTAGAACACTTAAATTACATATGAGGTGCAAGATGAGGAAGTGAGTGGACTTTCCCATTTACTTCCCCAGTAACTAACCCGCCAAACAATAAATAAAAACAAGCACAGGCTGAGATCTCAGATCTCTGGATGGCAGCTGAAGTGTTAGAAAGTTGGGGTGAGACCAGAAGTAGGGGAGAAGAAGAATGGGATCAGCACAGATGCTGGGAGAACCTACCCATTAACACTGGGGATACTCACTCATTGCTTTATTTTGGGATGGAGCTGGGTAACATTTCTGAGGAAGATGTAGCCTGATTTTTTAGGGTGGCAAAAATTGGTCATGGGAGTGGGCTATGCAAATGGAAAGGGACAAGGGGAGACTGTAGTGCTGCATGAGAGTGCTACTGAATCTCTCTGAGGCCTGAGATGGATAGACACTAAGACCAGGAAGAACCTCAAAGATGACTGTGTGACAGGAGTACTTTAGCCTGCCAAGGGACATTGAGGGATATGGCTGGCTCCTTGCCCACAGTAGAACGTCATGGGAGAGCCTGAGCAGGAGTGCCCATGAAGGAAAGACATAGAGTGTTCCCCACATTTGCCACAGGAAAGTTGAGCCTCACAACTTACATCAGCTTCTGCAGCTATGCCACCTCCCATGTATGCATATTGAATTTCAGAAATCAAGCATCCAGAACTACTGAGTCAGTATGGGGGGGGGGGACTTTTAACTTTAGTATACTTTAGTGGATCTCAAGAGAAGACACCAATGCCACTGGGTCAATTCTGACTCATAGAGATCCTGTGGGATGGAGTGGAGTTCCCCTGTGAGCTTCCCAAGATGGTGAGTCTTTGCTGAGGCAGGCTGCCATATCTTTCTCCCAAAGAGTAGCTAGTGGGTGCAGGCCCCAGCCTTTCAGTTGGCAGCCAGAAACTTGGCTGCTGCACTACCAGAACACCCAAACAGAAAATGTTCTTACAAAAAACAGAATATAAAATTTAAAGTTAATAAATAAATAATGGCCCATATTTTAAAAAGTAAATAGAAAAACAAAACATCAAAAGCAGAACATGCAGAAGAAATTTCTCCTATGGAGGCCAGAGTAATGCAAAGACTATGATGCTAAATATGTTTAAAGAAAACAAACCAGCAGAGATTGGAAAACAAATGGAGGAACAAAGTGAGAGACCAAACAAGGAAATTGAAAACAAAAAAGAGAGAAAGAAAGAAAGAGAACTAATCAAACTGAAGAATAAAGCAACTAAATTAGAAAAATCAAGAGAAACACTCAACAATAGAGTCAAACAGATAAAAGACAGAATAAATGAACTGGTAGACAAAATATATTAACTGTAAGACAAATCAACTGAACTTATCAAATTTTCAAGACAAAAAAAAACAAAGAAAAGTAAGCAAACTGAAAAGGAAATGTGGAGTTCAATTAAGAAATATAACATTATAATTATTGAAATCCCAGAGCATCATGACAATGATAAAGGCATAGAAACAATTTTCCAAGAGATAATCAAAGAGAATTTTCCAGACTTGAACAGAGAACCAAGCCTACAAGTATAGCAAACTACATAAATCCCAATCAAACAAGACAAAAAAAATCAACTCCATGCCACATCTTGACAAACTTCTTGGAAACAAAAACAAGGAGAGAATTTTGAAAGTGACAAGGATGCAATATAATACACCATGGAGTTCTCATAAAAATCAGTGTGGATTTTCACTCAGAAATTCTAGAAGCTAGAAGACAATACCAAACCAAAAACCAAACTCACTGCCATCGAGTTGGATCCAACTCATAGCAACCCTTCCTTGGATTCTGAGGCAGTGTCACTATAGAAGTAGATTGCTCAGTCTTCTTTCTGAGGAGTGGCTGGTGAGTTTGAACCAGTGGTCAAATGCCTTAGGCATTACACCACCAGACATGTATAAAATAGTGAAAGAAAGCAATTGATAAACAAGAATTCTTTACCCAGAAAAGTTGCCATTCAAAAATGAGAAGGAGAAGAGGCAAAGACAAGATGGTATCCTGGTGACACACTGTGACCAATTCTTCTATAAGAAAAAAACAGAAAAATAGAAAGAAACAAATACAAATGGTGATCCTGGAACTCTGAGCAACAAATGAGAGGATAAAGAATTAGATTATGTGCCAATTGGAAAGGGAGACAGAGCAAGGATAATGACTGGAGAGAGAGAAGAAGCTGGGGCCTGATGAAGCATGGCCGTTTAGAGACACAGAAGGAATCATACATGGATGAGGAGAAACCAAAGTCACAAAATCAACACTAGAACAGACACAGTGTAGACAGCTCTGGAGTGAATCAAGGTAAGCAAAATATGCCCTAGATCTGGGAGAGGAATGAGCAGGGAAATTGGTGAGATTCTCAGTGGCATAGGTGACCACAGAGCAAGGAGGGAGCCAATGAAGGAGGATGAAGAAATTCACTACTAGTTAACACTAGTCATTTCAGTTGGGGGCCCAGGTGAGGGCAAAGGACTGTGGGGTGGAAATTTGAGATACTGGACTTGGGGCAGCTCCCTACTTGATTGAGTCTTGGCAGGAATTGGATAATTGGCTGCATGCACCCAGAAATGGACAAGGTCCATGCCAGTGGATCATGACCAGAGAAGTGTTTTCTCTGCCTTTTCTACCACAACTTCCTGGTGAGCAGGGATGAGCCCCCTTCCTACATCCATCAATCCAGTTGCTAAGGACACCCCCCCAACACTTCAATCTGGCTGCTGCCTTGTGCTACCTCCTCCCACCAATAGCCCAGCCCAAAGTCCTATGTGCCCAAAGCAGACAGAGCCAGTGTGTGCAGATGTGCCTGCCTGCACCTATGTCATTGACAGGTCTTACTCTCACTGAACACAAGATTCCTATGGCCTCCCCTGTTGGAGGCACACATGCACACCAGGCTCTCACCCCCTCCAAGGGTACACACTCCCATGGATCACATCACAAACCCCAGCTGTCATTGCTGTTGGCTGACCATAAATGCAACAGCCCCTCCCTTTTTTTCATCTCTTTTTTACATTATTTCTTCCTTTTTATTTGTTTATTTCTCCCTCCTCCTTTTCTTCTTTTATTTTTCCCCATCTTTCTTCTCATCCATTCCCCTTTTTATTTTTTCTTCTTTTTATTTTTCCCTGTACCATTCACCTGGAGGCAGACATTAATTCTCTACTAGTCAGCCATACCTACTACAACTACCAACTACCAGGCCACCCAATAGGCAAGTGTCTCCACCCACTTCTACACCACTCAATCAATGACAGACAGTGGACATCACCTACTCATCTCACCTGCACCACCTCTTCACAACCAACAAATAAATGCCCACATCCACATTCCTGCCAGTTACTCCACCCATCTAGAGATAGTAGAGTAGGGAAGTAACCCAATGTTGCCAAACTGGCATCTAAAAATGTAAGTCTCCCACCAAGATAATCAACAAAGCCAAACAAAAAATCAGGGTAAAACAAACCAACATATAAACAACAAATAAAAACAATTCCAAAATGTCTTGGAGACAACAGACAATTTCAATTCAAATAAAGAAACAGGTCAAGATAGCACAAGCAAGTGACCAAAATAAAAACCTAGGAAACCTCCTCGAGGAAGAACAGGTAATAGAATTACCTGATAAGGAATATAAATATATCACAAACATACACACACACACAGCCTTCCAAGAGTTCAAGGAAACCACAAACAAAATCAAGGAAAACAAAGAGAGTACCCTAAAAGAATTCAGGAAAACAATTGAAAAGCAAAATGAAAAAAGTAAATAGACAATTAGAAATTACATGAAAACAGCAATTACAGATCCAGAAGATTAACATTAAAATTATGGCGCTAGATAACACATTAGAAGAAGAAAAGACTAGGATCTAATCAACTGAAGAATGAATAAGCCAACTATAAGAAAAATCCTGTAAAACCATTTTGTATGAGGAAAACTCAGAAAAAAAAAATGAAGAAACCTGAGAGTTATATAGAACAGTATCAAGAGGAATAACCTATGTGTGATAGGCATTCCAAAACAAGAGGAGGGGCATAGAAAATCGTTAAAGACTTGCTTTCAGAAACTTTCCCTAATATCATGAAAGATGAAAAGATATCCATCCAAGAAGCTCAATGAAGCCCATACAAGATAAATCCCCCAAAAAAGTCACCAGGACATACCATAATCAAACTTGCTAGAAACCAAACACAAAGAAAGAATCTAGAGATCAGTTCAGGAAAAAATAAAATGTTACCTTCAAAGGGCAAATAATAAGACTGAGCTGTGATTTATTGGTAGAAACAATGAAAGCAAGAATGTAATGGTATGACATATATAAGACTTTGAATGGCAAAAAGAAAAAAAAAATGCCAACCAAGAATTATATATCCAGCAAAACTGTCCTTTTAATATGATGGCAAAATTAGAACGTTTCCAGATAAACAGAAATTAAAAGAATGTGTAAAAATCACACCAACCTTACAAGAAATGCTAAAGGGAATCCTTCAGACAGAAAACCAACAACAGAATACAAAAGCCTAAGATTAAAAC